GTCTAAGCTTGGCTTGCACTGAAAAGCAGCTTTTTTCCCCTATTTTTCCCCAGCCTAAACTTATTTATCTGAAAGCTGAACTTTGCTTGCAGGCAAATGGATTTTTGGGATCAATTCTTTAAAATGAGGCAGTGACTCAGTACCAGGCTGGAATGCAGCTCCCCTGTTCAAACAACAACAGCAGCCACCTGCAGTAGGGGAAAGAGCTGCCAGTGTGCACTTGGAGACCTGTTGTATCCTCCTAAAGATCCAGGAGGTGATCATTACACTCAAATCCTTTCTAATTTAGTTCTGCTCCATTATATTCATCTCAGAAACGAGCACCTGCTTTATTTGTTCCTTCCTTTAAAGAGGAGGGAGGGAACTGCTTTGGGGCTTATTTCAGCCCAGGTGATATTATCCCGACTCCCTCAGCTCTGTTTGCAGTTGCAGTTGGAGAAGAAGCTGTTCTGGTTGTGCCTTCAGGGACTGGAGGCCAAGCTCAAGTGTTTTCTCCTGGAGATGAGGGTTTTGAGGTGGGACAGATCTTCATGGGTGGGTTGTCCTCTTCTCTGCCCAACTGACCCCAGGTCCCAGGCCAAGGGAGAGCAGCCCCAGCCAGCCTGGCCCTCTCTGGGCAGAGCAGAGCAGCCCTTCAGGAGTGGCAGAACCTGCAAACACGGAGGATCTTTTCTCATCCGTTGTTTTTGTGGCGGCAGGAACTCCCCCCATGGCAGCCCCCCATGGAATTATGGAATCATGGACTGGTTTGGGTTGGGAGGCACCTTAAAGCCCATCCAGTTCCAGCGGGCAGGGACACCTTCCACCATCCCAGGTCGCTCCAAGCCCCCATCCAACATGTCCTTGGACACTTCCAGTGATCCAGGGGTGGCCACAGCTCCTCTGGGAATTCCAACTCAGCCCCTGGTCAGGTGTTCTGCCCTGATTTAAGGAATTCCACTGGGGGGTGTCCAGGTGCTCCACAGAATCCCTCATTCTCTCTGCCCCCACGGAACGTGCTGCTTGCTGGCGGTGCTGCCCTGGAAGGAGGGAAACATTCCATAAATCCTTCTGTCTCCTTGCTGTGTTATAATCTATAGGAGTGACAGGGTTTGGAGGCTTTTCCATGCTCCCTGATGCTCATTTCCAGGCTCCCTTGCAGCTGCAGCTGCACTGGGATTGCTCTGGGATTGTCCCAAGGACACGCCGTCCCTCGGGCTGGCAGCTGCAGGCTCAGGGAATTCCAGAGGGGTTTGCAGGTATTCCAGAGGGGTTTGCAGGTATTCCAGAGCCTCCAGGCAGCCCCTGGGATCCCAATGCCAGAGGATGCTGTGTGAGCCACCAGGATCCCACAGCTTTTTTTTCAGGAATCAAAAGGAGTTTGGGAAATTGTGTTTGTCCTGGTCTGGGGCAGTTTGTCACTACAAGGTGTGATGGGAGCAAGTCTGGGCTCTTTGTGCTTGGATAAAGAAAACATGGAACAAAGCTGCAATTACCCAAATCAACCCTCAGTTCCAAGGCAAGAAATCATTCCTTGGTAACTGGTAATTAACATCTGCAGAGTGATTTGCATGAGAGTCAGAAAGATGTACTCTGTGACCTTTTCTTTCAAAGCTGACAAAGCAAATGAACGTGGGAGGGGTCAAGGTTGGTTTGGAGGGACAGGATGAGAAGCAGTGGCCTCATATCACACCAGGGGGGTTTAAATTGGATATTAGGGGGGAAAAAAAGCATGGAAAGGGTTGTAAAGCATTGAAATGGGCTGCCCAGGGCAGTGGGGAAGTCACCATCCCTGGAAATGTTCAAAAAACACGTGGATGTGGCACTTTGAGGACGTGGTTTAGTGGTGACCATGGGGGTGTTGGGTTTGATCTTAAAGGTCTTTTCCAACGTCACCAATCCTGTGATTACGATGTTTGATGGTTGAAGGGTGTTTGCCCGAGCCACAGCACAGTTTTTCCAGAGATATGCCAGTTTTCTATTCCAACCCAGCAGCTGGGGTCTCTTACCCATCCTCTACCCTCTCCAAACTGGCAGATACAGCTCAGAGAACACCTTTGCTGTTCACATGGGAGCTTTATTCTTTATTTTATTGTTTATTATCCCTATGAAGAGATTCTCATGAATACTTTAGGAGACATTTGTAAATAGAGCCTTAATTATTTAAAGCCATTTTCCCCCTTCCTTACTTAAGGGCTGCCTTCCATCCACCCAAGCTGAATTTATTGCAGTACTTAATAAGTTTAATTTCAATCAAGTTTTGTATGTACACATCTCTGAATCTTGTACCCATCTCTTTGCCATGGGCTTGTTGGTTTGTTGTTTCTAGAAAGCTGCTTTTGTCCATAGTAGATGGTCATGTTCTCATTATCAGCTTCATTATTCAACTCCTCTTGGACACAGTGTGTGACTGGCTCAGGCTCTGGGGATAATCAGGTTGCCAAGACAGCTGAAATCAGCTGATTGTTTGAATTCAGCTGTTTTCCTGAGGATGTCCCAGCCCCTCTGCTCTGGTCTGGTGAGATCCCACTTGGAATCCCATCCAGCTCTGTGGTCCCAGCACAGGAAGGACATGGAGCTGCTGGAGCGAGTCCAGAGGAGGCACCAGGATGATCAGAGGGATGGAACAGCTCTGCTGGGAGGAAAGGCTGGAGAGTTGGGATTGTTCAGTCTGGAGAAGAGAAGGATCCAGGGAGACCTAATTGTGGCCTTGCAGTGCCTGAAGAGAGAGACTGTTTACAAGGGATGGAGGGACAGGACACAGGGAATGGCTTCCCACTGCCAGAGGGGGGTTAGATGGGATATTGGCAAGGAATTCCTCCCTGTGAGGGGGGGGAGGCCCTGGCACAGGTTGCCCAGAGAAACCGTGGCTGCCCCTGGATCCCTGGAAGTGTCCAAGGCCAGGTTGAAAAGGGCTTGGAGCAACCTGGGATGATGGAATGTGTCCCTGCCCATGGCAGGGTGAGGGGCTGGATGGGCTTTAAGATCCTTTCCAACCCCAAACATTCTGGGATTCTCTGATTATTTCCATGTAGTGGTCAGATCTGTTGGTCTCAGCAGAGCTCCAGGTAAAAAGGGCAATCACAGGATCATGGAATCATTAAGGTTGGAAAATCCCTCTAAGATCAAGTGAACCCCTCAGCCCCTGAGCCATGGCCCCGAGGGCTCCTCATGCCAGGGGGGTGTGAGCTCAGCCCTCCTCCCCACTGCAGTCCTTGCAGGTGGGATAAGGGATCTAAATCCTTGGATAGGTTTATGCAGGTGAAGAGAAGTGGTGGGGAAAGGTGGGATTGAAGAGAAGTGATGCTTCTCAGGAACACCAAACCAAGCCCACTCAGTATCTATTAAATCAGATTATTTCTGCCCCCTAGGAACCAGCCTGAATTCACCACTTCCCTTTCTCTGGTCCTTACTCACCCCCAGCCCTGCTTGGGAGCTGTTCCTGAGGCCCAGGACACGGGTTAAGAGGTGATCTGGCAGCCAGGGCCATGCCTGGTGTCACAGCAGCTGCTCAGGGCTTCCCTGGCTCCTGCTCCGCTGAACAAACACTCCAAACCCCAAATAAAGACAAAGCTCCACCAAAATCAACAGCTGCTCCAGAGCCAGGCAGGGCTCATTAACGGGGAGCAGGTGCTGCTGCAGGTTTCCATCCATGGCATCCAACAATCTGCTCAAACCCAGCATCAGGGAAGCCCAGGAGGGAAGAAACCATCCCTGGAATCCATGTGTAGCAGTGGAAGTGTTATTTTCGTAGCTGTTGCTCAGGGTTTTCTCTGTCTGTGGTTCGTTTTTTTCACTTCCTACGCCCAAAATGTCACTCAGCCAGAGGCAAGGGTCCACCCAGTGCTCACAGTTCTATAGTTAGGCCCAGAAACCCCAATTAATGTGAGGGCTCCCCCTGCCAGAACCCCCTGAAGGGCAGCAATCGCCCCAAGGGGCAGCACAGGCAGATGTTTGAGTGTCCTACATTCTTCCCCCAGAGTATTTTTCCTGCCTATTTTAGCAATGTCAGAGCTTTTATGGGGAAAATACCCAACAAAAAACACCTCTGGAGCTTTTAGAAATTCTATCCCAATGTAAGTTTTCCAGGGGCTCAGGAACACAAAGGTTCCTTTCCAGCTGTGTTGCAGGCAGGGAGTTGCCTTTAAACTCCAAATGCCCCGACCCCAAACATCTCAGCTGCTTTTGTGCTCGTGGGCACTCAAAATTTAAACTGAACTTCGAGTGCTTCAGACAGGCCTGACAACCACAGTCGAGTTTTGAAGCCACAGAGCCGCTTTTTGAAACATTATCCCGATTTTGTCTCCTAGTAAATAAGTTGTTTTAAAGCCAAAATCCTAAAATCACTGAGGCTTTCAGTGACTGCCTCTGCTTTCGCTTTTTTTTCCCCAGCCACAAAGCCAAATTATACAGGGTATATCCCATGTAATTCCTTTTCTGGGCCTATCTTATCTCCAGCTCTTAGCTGATGTGATTGAAAAACTCTGCCATTCCGTGACAGAAATCCCAACAGGGAGCCCTAAAGGGTTCTTCAGGAGCAGGTCCAGCCATTGTAAAATGGTGCTCTCTCTTTAGATATGCATTTTTAGATAATTTATTAGATTTATTTAGATAATTTATTAATTTATTGATTTTTAATTCACTATTTTTATTTATAGGAAAGGGGGGAAAAAAAGCAAATTGCCCCTCTAGCTTTGTTGGAGCAGAGTGGGGAGTGGGTGTGGAGGGGAGGAGAGGAAAATGTTTGGATGCACTTGGATGGGAACCTGTTCTATTTTGCAGGTCCCTAAAATCCCCCAGTTTTCCTGTTTGTTTCTTGCTGTTTTGAGGGTTTATTTTGTATGTTCAGGGAGCTGTGGGTGTCACAAACCACATTCCAATGGATTGAGGTTGGAGACACTGATGGAAAGAACTGGTGGGATGCAGTCATAGAGGGACACAGCAGGAACTGTGCTGTGGATATTATTTATTTCAGATTATAGCTCTCTGAAACCAGGTTTAAAACTGATCTACTCACACAGTGACCCAGGAGAGCTCAGGTGAGACACAGATCCTGCACAGAGTCTCTCTCCATGCTGAAATGTTCCTTGGAAGCTCCTCAGGGCATGTGGAGATGGAATTCTCCAGGAAAGGGATGTGAGATGGAATTCTCCAGGAGAATGATGTGAGGTGGAATTCTCCCAGGAGAATGATGTGAGGTGAAATTCTCCAGGGGAGGGATGTGAGGTGGAATTCTCCAGGAAAGGGAGGTGAGGGGGAATTCTCCAGGAGAGGGATGTGAGGTGGAATTCTCCAGGAGAATGATGTGAGGTGGAATTCTCCCAGGAGAATGATGTGAGGTGAAATTCTCCAGGAGAGGGATGTGAGGTGGAATTCTCCAGGGGAGTGTTGTGAGGTGGAATTCTCCAGGAGAGTGTTGTGAGGTGGAATTCTCCAGGAGAGTGTTGTGAGGTGGAATTCTCCAGGAGAGTGTTGTCAGCACCTTAAACTCTGGACACAACTTGTGCTTAAGAGTTTGCAGGTTCACAGAACCATCAAGGTTGGAAGAGACCTTCAGGATCACCCAGTCCAACCATCCCCCAGCACCACCAGAATCACCCCTAAACCATCCCCAAGTGCTTCATCCAGGTGCCTCTTGGACCCTTCCAGAGGTCATGACTCCACCACCTCCCTGGGCAACTTATTCCAATGCCTGACCACTCTTGCAGTGGAAAATCTAATCTCTGATTTGAACCTCCCCTGGTGCAATTTATCCCAGAATGGCAGAGTCAGACCTCTGGGATCATCAAGTCTGGAAAAGACCTCTGGGATCATCGAGTCCAACCTGTGACCCAACCCCACCTTGTCCCCCCCACCATGGCACTGATGCCACATCCAGGCTCTGCTTAAACCCCTCCAGGGACGGGGACTCCACCCCCTCCCTGGGCAGCCCATTCCAAGGGCTCATCCCTCTCTCTGAGAAGAACTTCTTCCCCATGGCCAACCTAAACCTGCCCTGGGGCAGCTCCAGGCTGTGCCCTCTTGTCCTACTGCTGGTTCCTGGCAGCAGAGCCCGACCCCCCCCGGCTCCCCCCTCCTGGCAGGGAGCTGCAGAGAGTGAGAAGGTCTCCCCTGAGCCTCCTCCTCTCCAGGCTGAGCCCCCCCAGCTCCCTCAGCTGCTCCTCACAGCACTTGTGCTCCACACCCTTCCCCAGCCTCGTTGCCCTTCTCTGCACCTGCTCCAGCCCCTCAACATCCTTCCCAAACTGAGGGCCCAGAGCTGGGCCCAGCACTCCAGGGGTGGCCTCCCCAGTGCCCAGGGCAGGGGCACAATCCCTGCCCTGCTCCTGCTGCCACACTATTCCTGAGCCAGGCCAGGCTCCATTGGCCTCTTGCCCCCCTGGGCCCCCCTGGCTCATGTTCAGCTGCTGTCAGTCAGTCCCCCCAGGTCCCTTTCTGTCCCCCCACTCTGGCCCAGCCCGTGGGGCTGCCGGGGGTTGTTGTGGCCAAAGGGCAGGACCCGGCCCTTGGCCTTGGTGAACCTCATCCCCTTGGAATCAGCCCATGGATCCAGCCTGTCCAGGTCCCTCTGCAGAGCCCTCCTGCCCTCCAGCAGACCAACACTCCCCCCCAACATGGTGCCATCTGCAGATTTGCTGATGGTTCACTCAGTCCCCTCATCCAGACCATCAATAAAGACACCAAACAGGGCTGGGCCCAACACTGAGCCCTGAGGACACCCCCAGTGCTCCGATCCCCCTGGGATGCAGCTCTGTTCCCACCACTCTCTGAAGTTTAAGGTCATTTCCTCTCCTCCTGTCACTTGAGGCAGAAGAGCCTGACCCCTCCTCACCACAACCCCCTTTCAGCCAGTTGTGGATTCCCAGAGTTTTAACAAAGAGAAAATCCTTCCCCAACGTGTTTATTAAGAATATTTCAGAAGCAGAATTTCCTTGGGATGAGTTGGATATAATTTTTGCTGGCATGACAACTTCAGATTAGAGCTGGCAGGATTTAGTGCTTCATCTCTTTGTATTCACCTCAGTCAATAAGGCAGCAAATTTATTTAGTGTCCAGAGCCAGTTTACTGTCTGTCTGGTGCATTGTTTCACAGTTTAAAATGGCAATACATCTATAGATCTATTTTGAAATGAATGACATTCAATACCCAGGGAGAAGGATGAGAAAACCTGTTTGTGCTGGTACTGACAGAGAAATGAATTTCTGCACTGACTTGAATTTCAGAGGTTTGATTATTTTTTTTCTTAAGAAAGTTTTCTGATTGTTAAGTTTCCCCAGTTAATCCTGGGAGAAGTGATGGAAAAGAATTAGATGTTGCAGATCCCTTTCTTTAGCATGGGAGTGGCACCAGGCAAATCTTGGAGGCATTAACATCCAAACTGTAAGTGGCACTTGAGGGGAAAGGTGGCTCTCAGGTGCCAGATCTGAGGCAAAGCTGTCTTGGGGGAAAGGGAAGGAGATGATGGGTGGTTAGAAAATGCCCAAGTGAGATAAACTTTCTCCAGGGAAAATTTGGGGACAATTTTGGCTTCTATCCCACTTTTCATTATTTGGTGTGTAGTTGCATGTCAGCCTTGTCTGAGATCTGAAATGAGAAAATAACTGGGCTCTCTCCCTTCTTTCCTTTATCTCTGGCAGGTGATTATATCTCTTGGAGAACATGTGGCCTGGAATTAGTTTATCCATGTGCTTTGACCTCCAGCCCATTCCAGGCCCTGCTTGAAGCCCCCAGGGGAGGGGGGGGGTATGAGTTTGCTTAAGTCTTAATTAAAGAGATTTAGATCTTTCAGTGCTCTGTATAATATGTATATTATGTATTAATATATTAATTAATATATAAAAGAATTCTAATTTAACACATAAACTTAAAAATAAATGGGTTCATTAATGAAGTGTAATGGGCCATTTAGAGCAGAAAATGGGTGTCATTGAGAGCAGTTTTCAGATCTCTTGGGTGCTCAAGAAGTGGTCAGTGAGAATTCCAAGACATCATTTGTCAATAATTCCTGGAAGCTCCCAGGTAGTAAAGTGAAGAAAGGCAGCTGGAAGGTGGAAGTGCAGCAGGGTTGGGAGCTGCCCAGTGGAATCCATTTGCAAAGCCCCATTTGGGCTTTTCTGGGTCTTCTGTGAATTCCAGCTTTGCTGGCCCACTCCCCCCACCCAGAAAAACCCAACAGTTGTGTCCCCCAAAAGCATAATTAGCCTCAGATTTCACCTGATAAGGCATCTTTGCCAGGCTTTGCCCTCAGGGGTGAGTGCAGTTCATCCTGGCTGGTTTATCCTGTTTCACTGGGATGGATCAGAACCCAGCTGGAATTTTCCAGTCCTGCTCTCCCAGCTCCGGGAGAACTTTCCCCACCTTTAACCCAAAGAACAAACTTTATGTTCTGTACACCTCATGTTAGATTTGCAGAAACTTTTCCAGCTGCCAGAAAGGATTCAGGATTGTTTTATTCTGCGGAAACACATCCCAGAGCTGAACCAAAACCATCCAGTTCCAAAACCAGCATGAAAAGAGTGACCTGTGGATGCTCCGTGGCTGGAAGGAAAAGGCATCATCCCCACTCCTGTGCACCCCAAAAATCCTGGCAAAATCCAGGGAAAAGCAGCAGCCAAAGCACATCCTGTGCTTCAGCAGCACAGTCAGCAGTGACATTTGGGATCCACCCTGACACAAGTGAGATTATTCTCTTCCATCAGGGCAGAAATGCCCCTCTCCTTGCTGTGGTTTACAGCTGACTTTGAGTAGGGAACCCCTTCTTACACTCTAATCACAAATGTATTTATACCTCACATTTATTTGAGATTATTATTTCTGCATCACGTGCACCGTGTGTTTTATATGGAGTACACTGGTTTTGTACATTAAAATCTACAAAAGTTAGAAAATCCAAAAAGCTCTGAGGCATCAGTTTACACAGAGCACTTAATTTGTGGCCCTGCTGCCCATTCCAGCTGGATTACATTCCCATAAGGGACTAAGTAAGCAGTCGTTTACATGGATTGTTTGTGCTGCGAAATATTCCTGGTCCAGCTGGACAGAAAGAAGGAAACCTGCTTAATTTCCCTGTTATTAGTTAATTTATTTGTTGTTTCCTCTCTGTGAGATCAAACATCAGAGCAGAGTGTATTCCCAAACCAAATAAATTCCACCTTATTAAGTGCCTTATGGTAACCAATACAGGCTAAAAAAGTTAGTTGGAGCAATGATTTCACACACCTTTGTGTGGGTTTTCTCCCAAACAATTCCTTCCCAAATACCACTGGGATCTGCAACAAGTTTTTCTTCCCCCTTATTGGATATTCACTTGTTTTTGGAGTCTTCTTAAAGTCCCAGGACAAATTATTGGGGGAAAAAAATGTTATTTTGTGCTAAAACTGTAGAGTGAATACTCATTTTTATATTAGGAAGGAATTCTCCCTTGTGAGGGTGGGGAGGGGCTGGGATGGAATTCCCGGAGAAGCTGTGGCTGCCCCTGGATCCCTGGAAGTGCCCAAGGAAATGTTGGAGCAACTTGGGATGGTGGAAGGTGTCCCTGTCCATGGCAGGGGGGGCACTGGATGGGCTTTAAGGGCCCTCCCAACCCAACCCATTCTGTGTTTCTATGATTTTAAACAATCCAGACTGGAATGTGGACTGGATTCCCAGTTCTCCTGAAGCAGAGCAATCCCATGGACTTTGGTGGAGCTCTGTGAGTCTCAACCACCTGAGAATGTTTTATTTGATATGTTTTTAGCTGGCAGTTCCCTGTGAGCATGCTTGGATTTGCAGCCGTGCTGCCAGATGAGTTTTATTCCTGGCTGGGTAATTCCCCCCCACTCCTGGGTTTATCCTGCTCTGTGCTGAGTGGAACTGTGCAGCTCCAGGGATTTGCAGATCCACGGAGCATTCCTGCCTTTATGAGTTTCTCACTAATGCCAGAGATAAGCATTTCATACCTGGGAGCCATTCCACCTGTGTGGAATCATGTGAACACCATCCCTTAGGAAGCCAAAGCTGGAAAAACCCAGCAATTACTCTTTCTGCTCCACTGAAGCTCCTGATTCCCCAAGAACTTTGAGAGACTTTTTCCTTTGCTTTAAAAAAAAAAAAAAAAAACAAAAGCTAAATTAATTGGAAATGACAAGAGGAAAATGATCCAGCTGAATGCTTTGATAAGCAATCAAGGCTTAATAGATTAGAAAATATAATTAATTACTTAATTATACTCAAAGTGGTTGTTGTTGGTAGATTGTTCAGTGAAAAGCCATTGTTGGGTGGGAGGAGGTGCCTGTTGCATGAAGATCAGGACCCAGGAAGCCTTTGCTGCTGGCAGGGACTCGTGGTGAGCACAGGGATGTTCCACAAGTTCTCCAAAGGCTTCCCAAGCAGGTCCTTCCCCCCGAGGGTGGTTGGCACTGAAAGGTTTCCCCAGGGGTTGGTGTTGGCACTGAAAGG